TTGACTTTATTGGCTTTTTTAGACATTCCAGAAAACAATGAAGAACTATTTAAATGTAAAATATTTTCTTTGAAAGAATTCTATGTACACATATATATATACAATTCTTCTAAATCTAACACTCTCAGATCCGTGAAACAAAAACTCTTTTTGCCAAATTTCAGTTTATTAAACCATCTTCAGGGCATATTCTAAAAAACAAACAAAATAAGAAACTTGAATAATAAATGTTTAAGAATTAAAATCTAAAAGAATTGAAAGATAAAAGTAACAATATATAAACAAAAACAAATAAACAGATTTCAAATGTAATACCTTGCTTTAACTCGACCAAAGATTAACTGAATATGAGTTTAAATTTTATGAGTGGTGGTGGTCAGATCTAAGGGGGGGGGAATAGAGAGAGAGTGGGGTTGAAGAATTCGTAACTTCAGAACAGTTTGTATGTTTGTAAAAAAAATTAAAATGATCGGATCAAGGTTAAGAAGTAAATACGGCTTCTTCCATCATGTATATAGAGGAAAACGAGAAGTAGAAAAAAACTATAAAACTAATGAACACAACAAAGAACATAACATAATATAACATAATATCATATAAAAAAATATATATAATACATATAATATATATATAATAAAAAAATATAATCAAATAATTTTACAATTTTATAGTTAACATGTAAGTCGGCTGGTTCGAAGGCTCACTGCTCTTGTATCTTTTCTTTTATTAAGTCCAACCTGGAGTGTACCAAGATTGTACTGCCACCACAGTTCTCTACTTAGTAGCTTTTCTTCTTTTTGTGCACTTTAAAGAAAAATTATATATATATATATATATATATACATATCTATTGTAAAGGATAGGGGTGGCACAAGGCCATTTGTAAAGACTCAAATTTTACGGGTAACCAGCTGCGTATTCTACCAAAAGCATATATTTCATGGGAAAATAAGTTATGATTAAATGAATGAACGAATACTTGTAATTTATTCATTGTTCATTGAACTTAATTTTAAGCCATTCTGGTTTGCACTGTGAAGAGTTAGTTATTTGATGATTTTTGGTTAATTAAAAAGTAAAAATCAACAGGCGGAGCTATAATGCGGGGCTCGGAGCCTGTTTTGGGAGGCTCGGAGCAAGGGCTGATCCAGCTTTTTAAAAAGGGGGGGGGCTCAAAATGTGAATAATATTGGGTATAGTACCGAGAGAAACGTAGTTAGCGAGGGGGAGGGGGTGACGGGTGCCATAGCCCCCCGCAATTTTTTTAAAAGAAATTAGCATTAAACGTGAGTATTTTAAGTGCTCCAAACAGAAAATTACTCTTATATTATGTAAAAATATTTCTACCTTAGAGCTTTACGTATAATTTTTTCACTCAGACATATTACTTTATAAAAAATAAATTTCCATTTCCACTCGCATTACATAATTTCTAATTACAATTTTACATATTTTTTAAGATTAAGATATTAACTGCAAAAGCTTGTTCAGGGTGTTTTTTCATGTAACTAATTAAGTTACAAGTTACCCCAAAGGATGCGATTTCAAGATTGTAGAGTTTTAATCGGTTCTTAACTATTCTGTAGGTTTAAATATAGCGATGGGTAATTGCTAGATTCGTTTTATAGAAACTTTAATACTTTTGGACTTCTAAAGATTTACGGGTTCAGCGGTTTGAAATTGTCTTCCGTAGAAGTTTACTATTATCAAACATGCAAATTTGTTATCCTAGGTGAAAACATAAGGCAAAAACAAACTAAAAACGCTCGTTTTAAAAACCCAAAAACTATCGTTTTTGCTTTATATTTTCTTCGAGGGAAACAAATTTGCATGTTTGGTAAACTTTTACAGAATAAAGTTTTAAATTGTTGGAACCTTCTCATTATTCTCATATTGCCGTAATACCTTTAAAAAGTCTAAATACTTTCTGTAAAATGAATCTGGATATTGCCCATCCCTATTAAAATTTAAAAAATAAACTATTTATATGTAAACTTCTAAACATGAGGATTAAAAGTAAAGTTTGCAAAGTTTATTAAGATATAAGATCTAATCTTCCAGAATAAAGAAAGCCTGTCAACTTTGATATGCATTTTCACAATTATTTTTTTTGTTAAAAAATGAAGATAAATGAACCCTGAACCTATTGAATATACTTAATTCAATTTCACGGGGATTTTTGACTTTTGTCTATACAAGCTTTTAACACTTTTGTGGGTTTTACGGTTGCTAAGATGTCTCTATGAATGTTCATTATAGTGCCAGATCTGTCATCGTTCATTCTGGCTTTTTTGCTAAAGCATATTAAAGTATCTGCTGGAAAACAAGTTACAGTAAACTTTTAGGTTAGTCTCTTGAAAAGGGGGGTCAAAAAATACTCTTACCCCCCCCCCTGGATCCGCGTCTGGCTCGGAGGTCACACTACGAATACAGAGGCTGTGAGACCATTTCGCGGGGCTTACGGCGGCCCTGTAATCCATTCCTTAACTGGGTCTCACTTTGATTTGAGACAATAAAGTGGGACTATTATTTTCTTTAAAGTACACTTTATCAGGGGCGGCTTACGATATTTTCCAGGGGTGGGATTTTTTACCCCCCTGGCAAAAAATTCTCCTCTAAATGGATTTCTGTACAAGGAATTTGGTAATTTTTATGTCAAAACCATGACAAAACCATGTGTGTGGGAGGGGAAAAATGTGTTTCAAAATTTGCGAATTTTATATGTTTTCATTAAAACTCTTTTGAGTGATAAATTTGTTAAAAATCTGTTCTTGAAAATCAAAATTAAAGGGCAAGAAGAAGCCTGCAATCTCTACTTGTGCCCTATTTTTTCCGAGGGGAAGGGGGGGGGGAAACCGGGACAGGGACGTCTCTCCAGTTTTCCAGGGGGGGAAGTCTTCACTAGGAAGACAAGCATATTGAACCCCCCTTCTCATCTGGAGATATCAAGTTGGTCCAGTTTAAAAAGCGGTTAAAAGGGCAGCTAGGGTAAAATTGATGCTGGACAAAGGAGTGAAACGGCATTTATCCAGCCTGCAAAGGAAGCAGTATCGTTGGCCATCTTATTTCCAGGATCCCCCAGAAGTTAGCAGGAAGCATCTGATTAGAAGAGTTGAATGGAAGTATATTCGCCCGATCAGGGGTATTTGGGATTTAAATAAATTAATTGTTTTCGTTGTTTTCAGACATTGAAGTTCACAAGTGATTAAAAAGGTAATAAAAAGATGTAAAATAGCAATAATTTATTCTCCCAGATCTGACAATAAGTAATAAAGTATTTTGACTCCCGTAACCAGTGGAAATTATAGCCCAATGCATCAATGTGTTTCGTTGAAAAAACAGAAAACATGTAGTTGACGCGGTCAGCCCTGCAATTTGTTGAATTCATCCAGATTTTTAGCGACAGATCTATTCATTAGTCAAAATTTTATCTTTAATTTATCATAATGAGGATTGAGGGTCCAATAATTTGTTTTGATGTTCATGGTTGAAGTCATGAAATTGAAGATTTAAGCTAATCAATAATCAGTCATGCAAAATTCTTTTTAGGTTAAATGCATTAAAGAGCATCTCATGACTTAAAATAACTTGGCTTTTTATGAGTCATTTTGCAGATCTCATCATCTATGTAAGTTATAAGCTGAACTGGGGGGGGACTACAGGGGGGGGCCTGGGCCCCACCCTAAGCTCCTGAAAGGGGGGGGGGTGGCCCCTCCCATGGAAATTTATGATATTAAATAAAACATCAAGGGATGAAAGACACAACAAAAATATAATTGAATAAATGACCTAGAATACCCGTTAAAACTGTTTTCTCGTCTTATTAATTATACTAATACTACTGTAAAAGTACAGAGAGAAAGTGTGAGAACTGGAGTTTACAGATAGAAAGTAGGAGAACTGGAGTTTAACGTAAGAAAGTAGGAGAGCTGGAGTTTACAGATAGGAAGTAGGAGAACTCGAGTTTACAGATAGAAAGTAGGAGAACTCGAGTTTACAGATAGAAAGTAGGACAACTAAAATTTACAGATAGAAAGTAGGAGAACTGTAGTGTACAGAATAAAGTGGAATAACTAGAGTTTGTAGACGAGTTAAGATATAATTTTCTGGGTGGGGTGTTATGCAGTTCATTGGAGTTCTAGCAGACCAGATCTTTTCATTTAACCAACATTTATACTCCACTAAATTTTAGAAGGGGGGGGGGCGGTTCGTTTAATTCACATGTAATTGTAGTTCTCAATGTTTTTACTTAATTTCAAAGAAAGCTCAATTTTATCTTCCCCCCCCCCCCCGACCTTTCTATAGGGTTTAGCATAAATAATACTGAGGATTTAAAATAATAACTATAATTTTGACTAAAAGTAAGACGGTGGGACGGGGGGAGGCCCCTTCCAAAACTATAAATAGAAAGTTACGACTATTCAATTTACAGTGGGGATGATTCATAGTTTTTTCTTCAATTTGACCCTATAAAGGCTGGGGAGGGGGGAGGGGTGGTCTCAATCTATGTTTAGCCTTAGAGTTAAGGTATTAGGATTTTAATGAGAGGTGAGGGGGGCGTCAACCCCCCCCCCCCAGTCTGTTTATGGTTAACATTATAGCTATATTTGAGTGTCCCAATAAACATGGAAATTAAGTGACAACTTCTTTATTGTCTTTATTCCACAAAGCATTAATTTGTAAACACAATTTAGTATTATCCGAGTAATAACTTTTAACGCCAAAATACTAGTCTCAACTCTCAGGATTTCTAAAATTCAAAATTACAAAATCGATAACATTTTAAAAGGATTTAATATATCCGTCAATTTTGAAGAAACAAAAAGGAAGACCACATTTTGGAAAGCTTAGTTTTTTATAAACTCTAGATTAGTCATTCATCAATTATTGAAAATTAAAGACCATTTTCATTATCCCAATCTGAAAAAAATGTAAATAAAAATTAGGATGTAGTCTATGTTCTACTTCTTTTTTCCCTTACAAAACATAATCAAAAAAGGCCGAATTCTTTATTTAAAAAATGTTGTTATAATATAATATTGTAAACAATAATGAACGATTATACCTTATGATTTTTGAATTATCAACTTGGACAGCTGAACTCGGACCATGGTTCTCTGAGAACTTGGACAGCTGTACTCGGACCATGGTTCTCTGAGAACTTGGACAGCTGTACTCGGACCATGGTTCTCTGAGAACTTGGACAGCTGAACTCGGACCTTGGTTCTCTGAGAACTTGGACAGCTGAACTCGGACCTTGGTTCTCTTGAGAATTTTGCAAATTGCAGTGATGCTTGGCTCTCATTGTCTCTCACAATGAGACTATTTTTTTGATAATTTTATTTTTGTGGCTCCCACAAGGTTCAGGTTTTTGTCCAGGTTTTGAAGATATGCCTCAGCACTAAGGTCGGATTTTATATTCTCCCGGGCATCCTCCAAAGATTTTACTTTCTGCTTTAGCCTGGTGTTCCTTACTCGAAGTTTGTTGTAGATTGTTGTTTGAGGCACACAGCCTATTAAGCGTGGTCTCCTGGGGGACCTGGGGCGCATAGGAATGATCTGAAAAAAAATATTTTATGTAAATCTAGAAAAAGCTCTAAAACCTGACCTTGAAAATGAAATCTTTCAATTTTTCAAATTTCTAAGAAAACCCCATATATTTTACCGTTTGTCCCAGTTTTTGACCTGTAAATTTCCGTTTACCTTTATGTTCACTTAACAATCACCACACAAATAAACTTCTAGGAAAACCATATTTATTTAACCATTTGTCCCAGTTTTTGACCTCTAAATTTTCGTTTACCTTTATGTACACTGTACAGTGTACAGTCACTCAAATCTTTATAATTTGAAAAGGATTTTTTGAAATGTACAAAAATTCTAAAATATCCTTTGTCTTACAAAAAAGAACTTTTTTTAAAAAGAACTTTAAAAATTAATATAACATCTAATTTTTTTCTCGTCAAAATCAAAAAAGTTCACATTTGTCGAACTTTTTAAAACAAAAATCAAATCACATATTACCTTGAACTGCTGATGACTGGAGGTTAGAGGATGGTATGGCTCCAGGTCGTAGTCTTTTTGAAGTCCTATTAAGGTCATCAGGAGAATAATGTTCTGAGCATATCACACTCCATTTTTTCGGAATCGAGGAGGAAGGTTGGCCTGTAAATTTCGCCAATACTACTCTTAGGTCATTTTTCCGGAACGAAAAAAAGATTTTATCTTGACTGGTATTATTATTTTTACAATTACACTGCAGTACCTCATGTTAAAACATCACAGGGCCCACTGTTTAATGTTTACCAACACACCTGTACAACTTTCCTTCAGATACTAATTTTTTGTAAACAAAACAAAATCTACTTTATTTTTTTATATTGTGTGAAAGAAACATTAAAATATTATAAATACGTCCCTAAAATACACACAACAAATCTAGGGTCCGGTATGTTACATCAGCTGCTAGGCCCATTGAAAAAATTACCAAAATTAAATTTATACACTGGCCGAGTACACTGTAGAGACTGTAGATAGATAGATAGAATCATATCTATAAGCGAGCAGTGCCTATAATTTTTAAACAAATAAGAAATATGAATTTACTGCGTTTTGTTCAATTAATAATAATAATAATAGTAATAGTTTAGTCCCCCCCTGGCTGAACTACTTGCACAGACAGACAGACAAGCTAAATTTATATATAGATGTAAGAAATGATTTTAAACTCTACATTTTTACATACAAATAAAAAATTACCAAATAATTATTTCAGAAAGCACACAATTTACTTTTTATTTGTAAACAAGTTTGACCTTTACCACATTTTATTTGGAAATACCTGAATTTTGTTTGTTTCTTTTTTTCTTTTTTTCCTTCTATTATTTTTTTCCTTCTCTTTTCTTTTGTGTGCCCCTCCCCCCACACTAGGCTATGAACTTGCATATCCTTGTTCAAATTAACACATATTTGGCTAATTTGGACTTTCTTTGAACATGGGCAGTTAAAATTTTGAGATAAGATTTATTCTTAGAAATACGTATAATTAGAATAGTTAAAAAATTAACAATTTTGTAAAAAATTGTTTAGGAAAAATAAGTTCTAACAGACAGACAAGCTAAATTTATATACAGATATAGTTCAAGCAAATGCACAATGAAACAATAGATTAAATTTGTACAAATAATAGTTCAAAAACAAACACTTTATGTTGCAAATTCCGGGCCTGCAGCCCCTGAAAATATGAAAATTCTGAGCATGCCCCTGGAATGAGCGTTGACAAGTGCTGGATCTCCCAGGGAGTGTTTATGTATAAGAGCTGCAGGGAACATGTATTATCCCCAACTACGCGTAATAATCTGAAAGGGGGGAATATCTCCAGCACAGATTCAATCAATTCAATCGATGCTCCGCCGCTCAATTAAAACAAGTCCTACAATTTTAATACAATTTCTAGGGGGCTGGGTCAAATATCGAAAGTTTAAGGATATTAACAAGGACGATGTAAGTATGTAGAGAAAAGCCTTCCTGTGATTCCTATGAAGAGTTTGACTGTTGATGCTGTTAATGGGTAAAAACTTGAGATCCAACCGATCTAAAACCCCAAACTCGGGATTTAGGGTCTTTCATAATCATATGATTAAAAGAAAAACACAACATAAAGGCCTAAACCTTTTATTTCTGAGACCTACAAGTAAAGGCATTTGCCACAACGTATCAATAATATTCTTTCAAGTAATTACTTATTCAGAGCTCAAATGAGATAAATTTTACAGTGAGACTGAGCAGAATTTTCCTTCTCTCATCTCAGATATCATTAATAATTGTGGGGTCAACTCTTGCGTTTTTGGATTTAAGCACCCTGTAAGATTCCATAAACCTCGAAACGGAGATAAGAGGAACTAAACTCCTACTTCTTTTGACGGCAAGAAGTTTTGTTGGGAGGGGTGAAATTATCCTTACCCTGCAAACCAAGTAGCATCACAAACATTAAAATAATGTCATAGAAACATTACCTAACGTTACTAACAATAGACACGTTACAGAACATTTCTAGAGACTGGGCTTCAAATGTGAAATATATCCTCTCTCCAACTAAAATAGAAATAATCTTAATATCTAGTAAAAAGATAGTAGAATAGAAGATGAGAAGACTATCAGACTACAAGACAACTAGTAGACAAGTAGACTAAAAGACTAGAAGACTAGAAGACTAGAAGACCAGAAGAGTAAATGGGAAGAGTAAAAGTAAAGAGAAGAAGAATAAAGAAGAGAAGAAGAATAAAGAAGAGAAGAAGAGGAGAAGAAGAATAGAAGAAAAGAAGAGAAGAGGAAAAGGAGAGAAGAAGAGAAGGAGAGAAGAAGAGAAGAAGAAAGGAAGAGAAGAAGAGAAGAAGAAAAGAGGAGAAGAAAAGAAGAAGAGAAGAAAAGAAGAAGCGAATAAAAGAATAGAAAAAGAAGAAGAGAAGAAAAGAAAAAGAGAAGAAAAGAAGAAAAGAAGAAGAAAGGAGAAGAAGAAAAGAAGAAAAGAAGGAAAGAAGAGCAGTTGAAGATTAGAAGAGCAGAAAAAAAGAAAAAAAAACTAATCAAGAGATGAAACAAAGAGAATAGAAAAAGGAGAAGTAAACAAGAAGAGGAGAAAAGGAAAGAAAATCAGGCATTAATAACAGAATAGAAAAAAAGAAAAGAATTTAAGTAAAGAATAATAGACTGAAATGGGAAAGGAATGAAGGAAAAGAAGAATGAAAAACACATAAAGAATGGATTAATTTTTAACCTTCAACCACATCCTATAAGTCATCTGCAGTGCAGAACCTCCACTTGTTTAAGTCCATATATTATTGTCCTCTACCAAACCATCCAGCATTAGTAAACAAGTCAAAAGAATAAATTTATTTATGCAATCGTAAAAATCCCCTAACATAAAGTTGTGATGTAATATGAAAAGAGCCTCCCCCCATGGGTGCCCCCCCTCAGCCTCTCAGGGTGGGGCATGCGTAAAGGGGGGCGGGGGGGCGCGGCCTCCCCCCCTCGTACAGCCACTGCCTGAACTAATTACGGAATGGTTTTGTATTGATTGCGTAATTTCGCGTAATTATGCCTTAATTACGTAAAACTAGACTTTCTTTTATATACGTAATTAACATGTAAGTTCGCATCATGCTCCTCAATAAGTGAAAGAAAGTACGTGTAATTACGCGTAGCATAATTATGACTGGAAACCCTATGTTTTTCTTTCGCGTATTTTTTCGGCTTTTTCTATACTTAAAAAATTGTATTTTTTTAGTTCAAAAGTTTGATGCAAACCTAAAAATACGGATATTTTTGTAAATTTCATACCAAGCAATATTTCTAAATTTTTAGGTTTTTATTATAGATAGTTATAAGTATATTCCGGTTTTTTCTTTACTTAAAAAATTGTGTTTTTTTTCAGAGTTTAAAGGTTTGATGTAAACCTAAAAATATGTAAATTTTCGTAAATTTCATGCCAACTAAAAATTCCTGATTCATTTGATCTTTTAGGTTTTTACATTTTGTCATATACATACAGATATAAAATATGTATTTTACCACGGAAATAGCCTGACGAAATATTTGTGTCATATGTATGGAAAATATGTATTTTAACATATTCCAAACCTAAAAATACGTATGTCATAAGTATTACTAAAGGTTTTCCGGTTATTAGGGTATTTTTGTAAATTTGAACTATAAAGTTTGTTCATTTGAATTAAAATTTTATGTTCATGCATGTAATATTTTTTTATCATTTTTCTGTGATCGATTGTTTGGCTTTTTTCATGAAATTTAAAAATTTTAAACTGCTTATCTATCTACATAATAAAGCTCTTCGCTCATATATATTTGTTTGTACAGGGTGTCCCACGAAACATGACAGTTGGTTTTGAATGTCACTCTTCTTCCACATACTGTATTAGATATTAAAGACTTTTTGCAGTTTATTTCTTTACAAAGTGTTAAACTCATATTTTTTACTGTGAAATCAATTTTACTATGATACAGCTGTCATATGAGGGAGGGAAGGTAACCTCCCCTCACAGCTTCCGAACCTCATTTTACCTATTTGCGGCAGTGGATTTTGTGGGGTGGGGTGGATTTTGTGAGCTGACATCAAGTTAAGCAGTTATGACCACCTGACAGATGTAGGAGGACAGAGGGGCGGCTGTCAACAACTCTAGCAGCGAAAGGGTGCGTGCTTTCTACTCAATAAGAAAGAAGTTTCAAGTGGGATTGATCCTTAAAGGGACCGTTCACTTATTTGGGTAATTTCAGGGTAAACTAAACAGCCTTTCAGCTATTCATCGGTAATAGTCTTACTTTTCAAAGACATCTGTGAATGATGATGAAGAGAGAAATGGTGAACAAGCAGGGAGAGTCTATGGTTGCCAGTTTGTTTTTAATCTTTGTGAAGAAACAATCTCAAGAACTGACGAGGGTCAACCCAGACCGAAATATATTTTCAATAAATGTGGAACTAACATCTACTTTTTTACTCTACAGAGGTTTGGTACATCACCATCACCGAGTTTTTATACCTGGGGGTATCCAAGCCAGTCTTACAGATGTTAGGGAGCAATGAGTGGGATGTTTCCTATGGTACCCGGGCCTCATTCCAGTATATCAGAAGGATTCCTGCACTCTGTATTCTCAGGCCTGAGAAGAATCTTAGGCAGCTGGAATCTTGTCAACCCTCTTCTCAGAATGAATGAAGCGTGGATGGATAAATGTGCTGCCAGATTACAACCCCTGGTAGATCAATATAAAAACCCAAAATAACACCAAACTTATGCAATAGAAAAAATTCCGAGATTTGATCGTAACAACCCGATCATGTCCTGGGGACAAAAAAATCTCTTTTAAAAAAATATTTTAGATATTGACTCTTTTGTTCTATTTTTCGTTTTTTGGAATTCCTTTCCTCTTCTTTTGTAACGAACCCCCCCCCCCCC